TACTATTTGTTAAACTCTTTTCTTAGTATAGAGTTAATCTTCTGTGTGTGAGTTAATTGAAAATAGATCTTAGTGAAAAATAAGAATGGGATGGGGGGGGAGGAAAAAGTGTGGGAGTGAGGATGGAGGGGTGGCTACCCATGGGAAGCATGACTATCACTGTGTTCCTGAAGTTGCATTTATGAAATGCATGCATTTTATATACCTTAAATAAAAGGTTTCTGGGGAAAAAGAAAAAAGTATACCTGAAAAATTAAGAGAAAAACTTGTTTTATTTTTAAAAAATTACAAGCTGGGGCCAGCACTGTGGCACAATGGGTTAAAACCTTGGCCTGCAGTGCTGGCATCCCATATTGGCACCGGTTCAAGTCCTGGCTGCCTCACTTTCAATCCAGCTTCCTACTTAGGTGTCTGGGAAAGCAGTGGAATATGGCCCAAGTGCTTGGGCCCCTGCACCCACATGGGAGACCCAGAAGAAGCTCCTGGCTCCTGGCTTTGGATTGGCCCAGCTTCAGCCATTATGGCCATTTGGGGAGTGAACCAGCAGATGGAAGACCCCCTCCCCCACAACCATCTCTACCTCTCTCTGTAACTCTGACTTTCGAGTAAATAAAATAAATCTTTAAAACAAATTAAGAGGGCCAGCACAGTGGCTCACTTTGTAAATCCTCTGTCTGTGGCGCCAGCATCCCATATGGGCGCCAGATTCTAGTCCCGGTTGCTCCTCTTCCAGTCCAGTTCTCTGCTGTGGCACGGGAAGGCAGTGGAGGATGGCCCAATTGCTTGGGCCCCTGCACCTGCATGGGAGACCAGGAAGAGACACCTGGCTCCTGGCTCCTGGCTTCGGATCGGCGCAGTACCGGCCATGGCGGCCATTGGGGAGTGAACCAACGGAAGGAAGACCTTTCTCTCTGTCTCTCTGTCACTGTCTATAACTCTACCTGTCAAATAAATTTAAAAAAATTAAGAGCTATTATTCATAACCTGGTTAAATGCTTTAAATTGCCAAGCTTCTATATAACAACTTCCCTATAGAATTTAATTCATGGAGGGAATTACTGGAAAATATGGTTTGAAGATAATGATGTTATGGATTGTCAGGAAATTGGAATCCTGTTTGGAGTATCCAGTTATGTACTGCTTCACATGGGTAAAATTTGACCTTTGTGTGTACTTCCAAACAAACATAAGGGATAGTGTTACATGTCTTCAGCTTTGTGAGTTGTAAATATTACTGTGGTAGTTTGAATGCTTTAGTAAAAACAAATGAATAGAAAGGGTAGGTCTGTCCCTATTGTTTGGGTTTTTGAAAAATAATAATCATACATTCATATGTTCTTTTCATACTTTTAGGAAGTCAAAAAGGTAATACTACTGAGTTATAATTTTATTGTACATTTGAAATGCAGATTTTACTAAATTTAAATTATGCTTTTAGTAACTAATAATTTAATAATTCTTTTTATCCTCCCCTACTTTTCTAACCTTCTTTTCTCTTGCCTCATGGTAAGAAACTCAAATTGAAGATGCTTGCATTTTGAACAGGTTGAACTTGTGGCCTTGGCTATAATTGTCACTTCTCAAATCTATTTTTGATTTTAATCTTATTATTATACCTTTCTTTCCACAGACTGGTGAATTTTCGGCTCGTTTCCTTTTGAAGTTGCCAGTGGATTTCAGCAATATTCCCACATACCTTCTCAAGGTAGAAATATATATGAGAATGCAAATGAACTTTCCAAGCAATTATTTTGCTCAGTATTTGTATGACTGGTTTGTCAGCATTTTGTTGAGACAATGAATTCAATTAAAATTAGTCATTGAATGGAGATCTATTGAGTAATTTACCTAAAACCTAAAATAGTAGCCTTTAAAGTCATATAGAAGTGAGTTTTCCATATAAGATAAAATTAGTTTAAGAAAATTAAACTTTGGGGGGAAAATCCCTTAATATTATCAGGATGAAAGACTCTCATAGAAGTTATCTAGTATGAGTTCTTTTTTTTTTTTTTTAAAGATTTATTTATTTATTTGAAAGGCAGAATTACAGAGAGACAGAGGGAGGGAAGGAGAGGGGAAAGAGAGAGAGGGAGAGGGAGAGAGAGAGAGAGATCTTCTATCCATTGGTTTACTCCCCACAATGGCCAGAGCTGGGCTGATCCCGAAGCTAGGAGCCTGGAGCTTCTTTCAAGTCTCCCATGTGGGTGCAGAGGCCCAAGGATTTGGGCCATCTTCTACTGCTTCCCCAGGCCGTAGCAGAGAGCTGGATTGGAAGTGGAGCAGCCCGGACTTGAACCAGAGCCCATGTTTGATGCTAGTTCGGCAGGCGGATTGTTTAACTTACTATACCATAGTGCCAGCCCCTTGTATGAGTCCTTTTAATAGGATTGTGTGTTAGCCATGCTGTGCTAAAGGTGGCACTCAGGCAACATCAGAGCTGAACTTTTCTGGAGAGACCCAGAATCCATTTGATCAGGATGTTATAGCATTCTTTAAAATGTGATCCAGGCAAAGTATCTCCTGGTGAGCAGCTGTTCTGGGGAGAGTCTGTAAATGCTTTGCAGATGAGAAGTGGACTCCTAGTGACTAGGTTATGGTTAGTGGGAGAGAAACGATGTGGACCAGGGAACAGAGTCTGAAGAGGAAGCCTTAAGACAGAGGCCCAAGTGCATCATAGATAAAGATTTTGATTATGACTTAAGATGTGTCCTGCTACCTCAGCTTCTGTTTCAACCTGTGGTCATTTAACTTCAATGTAATGTAAGAAGAATGTCTGCCTTCTTCATTTGATGTTTTTCATAGAGCTTATAGTATGTATAACTGGCTAGAGAGCAGACAGAATCCTGGTGCTAGTTTCCCTGCATATTGGAGTAGCCAGTAACTGATATTAGGTGATAATCTTGATAATGGTTCGAAGTATGGTTTGGTAGAGTATAAGCTATACCTGTAGGGTATATTTTTAAAAATTTCATGTAAGAGAGAAAATTACTTTCTTTTTCCTTAAGTAAAGCATGGAATTTTTGTGCGTCACTAAACCTTGATTTTTAGTTTCCAGTTGACTGGTTTTCCACTCTGCTCCCAGCAGTTGTGATGTCCCAGTAAGAATGGAGATCAGCAATTCCCATCAGTTTTTTCTCATCCCTGCTGTGGGAAATATACATATTAGATCTGTGATTATCAACCCTAATTAATTTGGTTTCAGTAATTGCTGTACTCTATTAGAACAGTAAATAGTCTCCTTAGGAATCCTTGTAACGCATGTCCAGTGATCTCCTCCATATATTCCAGTTAAAACCATCAGTTCATTTAAAATGGAATTCAATAGTAAATGAGAATGCATTATTCATATAGTCATCTTAATCCACAGTTTACAGTTAGAGTATCTTTGTTTTGACTTGTTGGGCCTTATCAGTTTGAATGGTCTTCCTGTTTATTTGAAATTGATGTTGCCTCTGCTCATGTTCTTGAGGATCAAAGGGGAAAACATGCTTGTTGGCTCACGTCTACTTAATTTGTTTCTCTTCTTTTCCTTTCTATTTTAAGAACTCTTGCTTTATCTTATGTCCTTAGTTTCTTCACGAGTGGATGAAAGGTAAAACCTATTTGCTGACATGATAAAGTCCTGCCTTCCCCTACTGCCTGCGTAGCACCACCCCTTGCACTACTGTAAAATGACTTATCACCTGTAGATGGAATGCCTAAGTTACAACATTAATAAATTTCTAGACCTTTAGTTCATTCAGACAGTAAAACAAGAAGCACAAAAAAGTATAAATGATCTTTATAACACAAAACAAGTTAAAAAATAATAAAAAACCAACCAGCATCCTAGGCCTGCAGTTGATAGTCTAAGTCTAAAAATAAAATAAACTCCTCCAATTCCTAGGGATGGGGTGCTCTTCCCCATCATCCAGGTAGTGTTATTTCACCAGCTGAACAGTTAAAAGGAAAGTAGAATTTAAAAATATTGACATAGTGGGGCTGGCGCTTTGGTGTAGCGAGTAAAGTCACCACCTGCAGTGCCAGCATCCCATATCTGGAAGAAGCTCCTGGATCCTGGCTTCGGATTGGTGCAGCTACGGCTGTTGTGGCCATTTGGGGAATGAACCAGCCAATGGAAGACCTCTTTCTCTCAATCTCTCTCTGCCTTTCTGTAACTTTGCCTTTCAATTAATAAAATAAATCTTTTAAAAATGAGATAGCATAGGCCAGCACCGCAGCTCAATAGGTTAATCCTCCGCCTGCGGTGCCGACACCCCGGGTTCTAGTCCGAGTCCGGGTGCTGGATTCTGTCCCGGTTGCCCCTCTTCCAGGCCAACTCTCTGCTGTGGCCCCGGAGTGCAGTGGAGGATGGCCCAAGTGCTTGGGCCCTGCACCCGTATGGGAGACCAGGAGAAGCACCTGGCCCCTGGCTTCGGATCAGTGCGATGTGCTGGCCGCAGCGCACCGGCCGCGGCGGCCATTGGAGGGTGAACCAACGGGAAAAGGAAGACTTTCTGTCTCTGTCTCTGTCTCTCTGTCTCTCTCACTGTCCACTCTGCCTGTCAAAAAAATAAAAAATGAAAAAAATGAGATAGCATAAAGTTTATTTTATGTGCAGTTTTATTCTGAGATTTTTTTTAATAGAAAGCTTTTATTTAATAAATATAAATTTCTTAAGTACAACTTTTGGATTATAGCAGTTCTTTCCCCCCATACCTGCCCTCCCACCCCCAAATCATCTCACTTCCTACTCCCTCTCCCATCCCATTCTTCATTAAGATTCATTTTTTAAAAGATTTATTTATTTACTTTGAAAGTAAGAGTTACACAAAGAGAGAAGGAGAGGCAAAGAGAGAGAAAGAGAGAGATATAGAGAGAGAGGTCTTCCATCTGATGGTTCACTCTGCAATTAGCCACAGTGGCCGGAGATGCCTAATCAGAAGCCAGCAGCCAGGAGCTTCCTTCGGGTCTCCCACATGGGTGCAGGGGCCCAAGGACTTGGGCCATCCTCTGCAGCTTTCCCAGGCCACAGCAGAGAGCTGGATTGGAAGTGTAGCAGCTGGGTCTCGAACTGGCGTCTATATGGGATGGCAGCACTGCCCAGCCCCAAGATTTATTTTTGATTATATAAAGAAGATCTACTCTATACTAACATAAAGATTTCAACAGTTTGCACCCACACACACAGGCACACAAGTATAAAGTACTGTTTGAAGACTAGTTTTACCATTAATTCTCATAGTACAACACATTAAGGACAGAGGTCCGAGATGGGGAGCAAGTGTACACTGGCTCCTGTTGTTGATTTAACAACTGACATTCTTATTTATGACGTCGGTAATCACCCAAGGCTCTTGTGAGCTGCAAAGGCTATGAAAGCCTCTTGAGTTGACAAATCCGACCTTATTTAGACAGGGCCATATTCAAAGTGCAGGTTCTCTCCTCCCTTCAGAGAAAGGTACCTCCTTCTTTGATGGCCTCTTCTTTTCACCAGGAACTCGCTCACAGAGATCTTTCATGTAGATCATTTTTTGCCACAGTGTCTTGACTTTCCATGCCTGAAAGAGATTGCCTAAAGTTTGACTACATAGCCCATTCATTTGTTATTTATTTATTTATTTTTTGACAGGCAGAATGAACAGTGAGAGAGAGAGACAGAGACAAAGGTCTTCCTTTTCCGTTGGTTCACCCTCCAATGGCTGCTGCGGCTGGTGCACCGTGCTGATCCGAAGGCAGGAGCCAGGTGCTTCTCCTGGTCTCCCATGGGGTGCAGGGCCCAAGCACCTGGGCCATCCTCCACTGCACTCTGGGGCCACAGCAGAGAGCTGGCCTGGAAGAGGGGCTAGTGGGACAGAATCCGGCACCCCGACCGGGACTAGAACCCGGGGTGCCGGCGCTGCAGGTGGAGGATTAGCCTATTGAGCTGTGGCGCCGGCCAATGTTACAGTGATGTTTTATTATGTGAGGATGAAGCCATCATTTGCTCATATGTTTCTCTTTTTTTTCTTTAAAATATTTATTTCTTTATTTGAAAGGCAGAGTTTCAGAGAGGCAGAGAAAGAGAAAGAGAGAGGTCTTCCATCCGCTGGTTCACTCCCCATATGGCTGCAATGGCCGGAGCTGATCCTATCAGAAGGCAGGAACCAGGAGCTTCCTCCAGGTCTCCCATGCAGGTGCAGGAGCCCAAGGAATTGGGCCATCTTCTACTGCTTTCTCAGGCTATAACAGAGAGCTGGGTAGGAAGTTGAGCAGCAGGGATTTGAACCGGCGCCTATATGGGATGCCTGCATTGCAAGTGGCGATTTTACCTGTTATGCCTGCCACAGTGCCAGCCCCTATAAATTTCTATTAGCAAGTATAGCAATTTTCCCCACGCATAGACTTCTTTGATGTTAGGATGAAAAGGCCATTAAGTATTCAATGATAAGTTTTTGCTTATTTTTCTTTAAGAATGCATGATTTTTTTTAAAAGACATTTATTTTTTTGGAAGGCAGAGTTACAGAGAGGCTGAGGCAGAGAAAGAAGGAGAGAAATCTTCCATCCGCTGGTTCACTCCCCAAATGGCTGCAATGGCTGGAGTTAGGCTGATCCAAAACCAGGAGCCAGCAGCTTTTTCATGTCTCCCATGTGGGTGTAGGCGCCCAAACACTTGGGCCATTTTCTGCTGCCTTCCCAGGCCATAGCAAAGAGCTGGATCAGAAGTGGAACAGTTGGATCTTGATCCGGCACTCTGTGAGATGCAGGTGGCAGCTTTGCCCACTATGCTGCAGCCCCGGCCCCAAGAATACATAGGAGAGTGAATTTATTCTGAAAATGATGCCTGACTTTAGTATTTGGATTTTATTTCTTGTTGAGCCAACTCAAAGGATTAGATAAATGATTTATGTAAAAGCTTAAGTCAGTAGAAAAATATTTCAGTATTCATTAGAATTCTTTATTTGTGGGTGGTAGAAATTCCACATGTACTTCTTTAAACAAAAGGGGAAATGTGCAAATCCTCTTCTGTGGTCCAGGCAGCAGGAAGCTGGCCCAAGGTTGCTAGCCTGCAGGTCAGGCTTAGACCAGCCTTCCCATGCCTGTTCTGCTTGGAATCAGTTGCACACCTTGAACTTCTCGACTGCTATTTTTGGGAAGAAATTGTGTCCTGCAGTAAAGGAGAGGTTACTGAAATAAGTATTGCTACAATGCTAAACCAAAGAAAAGTTTTAGAATTGTATACAGTCAGCCCTCTGTATTCCTAGGTTCCGTATCCATGAATTCAACCCATTGCCACTTAAAGTTATTTGGGGGAAAAAAATTTCCCTGAGCTGAAAATATACAGACTTTTTTCCTTGTAATTATTTCATAAAAAACACAGTGTAGCAACTATTTATATAGCATTTATATTACAGTAGGTACTGTAAGTAATCTAGAGATTATTTAAAGTATATAGGTGGATGTGTTTAGGCTGTATGCAAATACTGTGCCAGATAAGGGACTAAGCACCCATCAACTTTGGCGTCCATGGGCATGGAGGCTTCTGGAACCAATCCCCATGGACATTGGGGGATGACTGTACTTTTTTGTATGCCAGAGCTGGTAATTAGAAAATGCTGTTCTTAATTTTCTTGGGATATGGTGAAAACTGACATATGTATATTCCTGTCTTTAGTTTTGTCTAGAGAATTATTGAACCCAACAATATGATATTAACAAAGCATTTTTTCTATTTCTTTTTTTTGGAGGGGGGGCCAGGGGGTTTTGGAGGAAAATGATCCATGATTAGGTTACTAAACAAAGGTTCTAATTTTATGCTAAACATTTTAAACATCTGAACATGAAGTACTCAAAAAGTAATAATGCAGTATTTTGTAAGGGAAAATTTGAAAACAATGATGTGTGCTTGAATTATGTCTTAATAAGTCAGGTTTTATTTTTAAAGATTTATTTATTTAAAAGACAGAGTTACAGAGAGGGAGAGACAGAGGAAGAGGAATCTTCCATTCTCTGTTTCACTCACCAAATGGCCACAACAGCCTGTTTTGGGCCAGATCAAAGCCAGGAGCCAGGAGATTTTTCTGGGTCTCCCACACGGGTGCAGGGACCCAGGGAATTGGGCCGTCTTCTACTGCTTTCCCAGGCACATTAGCAGGGAGCTGGATCAGAAGTGGAGCAGGGGCTGGTGCTGTGGCGAAGCAGGTAAAGCCATCGGCTGCAGTGCCGGCATCCCACATGGGCGCCGAATTCGAGTCCCAGCTGCTCTACTTCCAATCCAGCTCTCTGCTATGGCCTGGGAAAACAGTGGAAGATGGCCCAAGTCCTTGTGCCCCTGTACCCGCATGGGAGACCAGGAGGGATCTCCTGGTTCCTGGCTTCAAATCAGCCCAGCTGTGGCCATTGCGGCCATCTGTGGAGTGAACCAGCGGATGGAAGACCTCTCTCTCTCTGTCTGCACCTCTGCTTCTGCCTCTCTCTGACTCTGCCTTTCAAATAAATAAATCTTTAAAGAAGAAAAAAAAAGAAGTGGAACAGCTGGAACTTGAACCAGTGCCCATATGGGAAGCTGGCATTTCAGGCATTGGCTTTACCCACTATGCCATGGCACTGGCCCCAATAAGTCAATTTTATATAGATTATAGCAAAGTTAAAATCCTGGAGTTAGGAGCCTATTAATATCACACAGAAATATTTAGGGAAATTTCTATAACTGTTGGATTAGAAAGTTAAATGCAAGTTTTTCCTGCTAATAATTAATATTATTATTAATATATAAATAACTGTAAAATAATCAATATTAATATACGGTAATATGTTAATATATTAATATTATCTTTGCAATAAATTAGTGGTAACTTTTTTTTTGTTCCGTAAGAAAAAACATGTTATTTATGTAGTCTACATAGTTCCTTGAGTGTCTCTAAACTAGGCATGATTGAGCTCCAGGCCAGGCCAGAAGCAGAGTTGTAACCAATTCATTACAGTGCAAGTATTTGTACTTATAGTTTCTATAGTAATTTTACTGACATCATTTAATATCACAAAGTGAGACCATTCATCCTGGTGAATTGCTTAATGAATTATAATTCCACTACAAAATCTGAATCATGACCCTGTATGGAATGAGAGTGAAAAAGCTAACATCAATCATCTGTCTTAAGAGATGAGGGTGCCATCTGTCTTAGGCGACTGTGGCTCTACGGATCCATCAGGGCAGACTCAGAACACAGGTCAGTTTGCCAGGCAGAGGCAGAAAGCAGTCATATTGTCAAGACATGTTCAGGAGCCTGGACAGTCAGAATTGTAGTGGGTATCTGGTCTGTAAACAATTATGGTCCAGACAGGTTGTTTACATGAGGAGAGCATCTGAGGTCCCTATGTGCTGAGATTATCTGCATGGTATAGTGGCTGCCTCCTCAGCATGACACAACCTAGCAGGTTATCTGCTTTATACTCAGTCTACTTTCAATCAAAGCTAGGTTAGCAGACGCAGGTGCTCATGGGGCCAGGCAGGTACTGGGAAAAGTGAAACTGGCTTGAAGTAACATAGTAGGGAGTGGTGAGAGCTGTAGTGAACTAGCCAGCATGTGCTGCATACAAAGGCAGAGCTGCTATCCAGCTACACAGTTGTTGCCCATTTGTAGCCTGTGGGCCTCTTGTTGCCAGACATACGGCTGTTATTAAATGGAGCCCAAAATCTCAGGTTTTTTTTTTTTTAATATGAAATGGCCTGCATTATGAGTGATGGTAGATAAATACTGTTTAAAAGCATTGTATAGACTGAATCGAATGCCTCTGTTTGCCATGGCCAAGGGGTTCATCTGTACACTTGCTCTAATGCCCAGTAGTCTCTTGGAATAGTCTGTTGGACATTCTATGCCCAATAGATGGAGCATAGAAGATTCTTCTTATGAACACCCATTTCAAGTGATGCTATCATTTTTTCATATAGTTAGGAAAAATTGGTAATGGCATAAGCATTACAGAAGTGTGTGTGTGTGTATGAGACAGTCATATTTGGTTACTTATTATCAAGAATTGAGTTTCAGTAAATCGGCAAAGTTGAAATTTCTCATTCTTCTCATCTTCCCTTAGAATAGGGGACCAAGGAGAGAGGAGGATTTTGCACTCTTTGCAGCCAGAGTAGAATTAGACTGATTAAAGTCCATGGAAGATTTTATGGACATGGGGGGATGGATGGAATGAAATCTCGCATTGTCCTGTATTGTTTGAAAGTCCCTTTAGTTTTACCTGTTTGCTAGGAAGGAGATTGTTAATCTCCCCCAACTACTCTATTTATTTAATGTCCAACAAGCTTCTTAGGGTGATATGTGTTGATTATAGTTATTTCTTAGCAGGCCTGACAGCAAACACTAAAAAGCCCTCTTACCCTGTTAAATGAGTGTATATTCAGAAGTTTCCCTTACAAAGATTTTTCTCTAAAGCGAAAATTAGATGATGCCTCAGAATTTGAGAACTTTTAGTTCAGATTTTATTTTTTTTTTATCCAATAAAGTGACACTAAGCAGCTTTTGGGAGAATGCTTTAACTCATTCTTGTGCAATCTGGCTTTAAAGCAAAACAGTTGTCTGGTACTTGAAAGAGCATAAAGAATTCACAGGGAACCCTCATTTTCTTATCTTCAAGGAAATAGTTTCTGTCTAATCAAATAGGAGTGGGCATGCTTTTATAAAAGTAAGAATGTGTATGTACCTGGAAGAAAGTGCCATAAAAGTAGGTGCTGTTTATTCCTGTATAAGTCTGATTTATTGCTGCTAAGTTTGAGCCATAATTTACATTTGAGATGTAATCACAAAGAAAGTGGTAAGATGGTCTGGATACTTACTCTGTGGGGAAGTGATCTCTGTTCAATTAGTGGGGGACCCATTCTTGCTTTAGTTAATTGTCCTTGTCCCACTTCTCTTCTGTTGAGAGAAGCAGGGCTTCGAGAGCGGTACTCTTTAGATCAGGGGCCAGCAAGCTTCTCTAAAGAGCAAGATAGTAAAATCCTGGGCTTGTGTGCCATATGGTCTCTGTCACAACTTCTCAGCTCTGCTGTCATAGCATGAAAGCAGCTACAGACAATATGTAAATGAATGAGTGTGGCTCAGTTCCAATAAAACTTTATTTTCAAAAACAAGCATTGGGCTCAATTTGGCCTACAAGCAGTAGTTTGGTGATCCCTTTAGATTACAGAAGGGAGTCTTTCTTCACAAAGGTCCTGGAGCTTCATAGATAGGACAAGGATTTGGTTCCATGAGTGTGAGTGGTTTCTATACCATGTTCTCTTTGTTTATATATATTTTTTTTATTTTTTTTATTTTTTTGACAGGCAGAGTGGACAGTGAGAGAGAGAGACAGAGAGAAAGGTCTTCCTTTGCCGTTGGTTCACCCTCCAATGGCCGCCGCGGCCGGCGCACCGCGCTGATCGATGGCAGGAGCCAGGAGCCAGGTGCTTTTCCTGGTTTCCCATGGGGTGCAGGGCCCAAGCACCTGGGCCATCCTCCACTGCACTCCCTGGCCACAGCAGAGAGCTGGCCTGGAAGAGGGGCAACCGGGACAGAATCCGGCGCCCCGACCGGGACTAGAACCCGGTGTGCCGGCGCCGCTAGGCGGAGGATTAGCCTAGTGAGCCGCGGCGCCGGCCTCTTTGTTTATATTTTATAGCACCTTCAACTCTCTCAAAGTTCTCCCTCCCCTCCTTCCTTGCTTCCTCCCTTCCAAACCCTCTCTTAGTTCTTTTTATTTGATAGGCGGAGCTACAGACACAGAGGCAGAGAGAGAGAGAGAGAGAGAGAGAGAGAGAGAAAGAGTTCTTCCCTCTGCTGGTTCATTCCAGGTGTATGAGAGACTGGATGGAGTTTCTGGCCCCTGGCTTAGGCTTGGCCAAGCCCTGGCTGTTGTGTACTGTGGATAGTGAATGAGTAGATGGAAGATCACTCTCTTTCTCTCTCTCTCTGCTTCTCTCACTATCTACGCTACCTTTCAAATAAATAAATAATTCCTTTTTTTAAAAAAATAATAAGTCAGCTATTTCTATGATCTGAATGTTTGTGCCGCCCCAAAATTCACATTGAGTCCTGGCTCCCAAGATGATGGTAACAGGTTGGTGGAACCTTTGGTAAGTGATTAGGTCATAGAGGCAGAACCCTCATGAATTGGTTTAGTGCCCTTATAAAAGAGGTCCCAGAGACTAGCCAGCCCCTCCTACTGTGAGAGGTACCATCCATTAACCAGGTGAAGCTGCACCAGACTGAATCTGCCACTGCCTTGTTTATGGTCTTCCCAACCTCCAGAACTGTAAGAAATCACTGTCTGTTGTATGTAAAACACTCAGATTGTAATATTTGTTATACCAACCAGAACTGACCAATACAGCTGTGCATGCTACCCGGGAATTTTTGGGACTATCAATGAGCTAACAAATATAATATTTAAAACATACTTTTGAGCTTGCTGTGGGTACAAAAAAGAAATGATTTTGATAGTATTAATTTAATTTGTATTTCAAAGTATAGATTTTATTGTGGACTAGGAAGAATGAATTTCATTGACGTGAACATAGATTTGTATTTGCCATCTCACTTTCCTCTCTCCTAATTTCCTCCATCTAAAATGCAAAGCTCAGACTTTTCCTTGCACTGGGTATCCAGGTATGACTCATGCTAATTCTTTTTTTTTTTTTTTTTTTTGACAGGCAGAGTGGACAGTGTGAGAGAGAGAGACAGAGAGAAAGGTCTTCCTTTGCCGTTGGTTCACCCTCCAATGGCCGCCGCGGCCTGCGCGCTGCGGCCAGCGCACCGCGCTGATCCGATGGCAGGAGCCAGGAGCCAGGTGCTTTTCCTGGTCTCCCATGGGGTGCAGGGCCCAAGCACTTGGGCCATCCTCCACTGCACTCCCTGGCCACAGCAGAGGGCTGGCCTGGAAGAGGGGCAACCGGGACAGAATCCAGCGCCCCGACCGGGACTAGAACCCGGTGTGCCGGCGCCGCTAGGCGGAGGATTAGCCTAGTGAGCCGCAGCGCCGGCCAACTCATGCTAATTCTGACAACACTCTGTTTTCCTGTGTGAGATGAAGAGCAGCCATACATGTATCTCCTGTGAATGTTTCGTCTTTTGGTTTTATTTTATTGTTTTATAGTTTATTTTTCTTTTATCTTTATGGTTTATTTTTATTTTTAAGATTACAGTTTCGAAATGTAGCTGTTTTTCAAATGATTGTCAGTTTACCTGCTCTGCTACCCTGTCCCCAGATGGAGGGGTAGTCCCTGAAGTACAGTCTATTTGGCTATAGAACGTGCTATAGTGACATGAGTTAGTTCATACATGACTGATAAGTAATGCAGGATGTTGTTATAATATACAAGTTGCCCTGGTTTATGGTTGATTTTTTTTATTTATTTATTTATTTTTAAAATTTTTGACAGGCAGAGTGGACAGTGAGAGAGAGAGAGAGACAGAGAGAAAGGTCTTTCTTTTTGCCATTGGTTCACCCTCCAATGGCCGCCGCGGCCGGCGTGCTGCAGCCAGCGCACTGCGCTGTTCCAAAAGCAGGAGCCAGGTGCTTCTCTTGGTCTCCCATGTGGGTGCAGGGCCCAAGCACTTGGGCCATCCTCCACTGCACTTCGGGGCCACAGCAGAGAGCTGGCCTGGAAGAGGGGCAGCCGGGACAGAATCTGGCGCCCCGACCGGGACTAGAACCCGGGGTGCCGGGATTAACCTATTGAGCCATGGCACTAGCACGGTTGATTTTTTAAGATTTATTTTATTTATTTGAAAGGCAGAGTGATAGAACAACAGAGAGAGAAGATCTTCCATCTGCTGGTTCACTCCCCAGATGAGCATGGCAGTTAGGGCTGGGCCATGTGGTGGCAAGGGCCCAAGTATTAAGGCTATCATTTGCTGCTTTTGAGAGCACATTAGCAAGGGGCTGGATCAGAAGTGGAACAGCTGGGACTTGAAACACCACTCCCGCAAGGGATGGCAGCATTGCAAGTGGCAGCTTAATCTGCAACACTACAACACCTTCCCTTATAGTTTATTTTTCCTGGACCCTCTTCATGATCTTCACTGATACATAACAGCAGCTAAACACAAAGAAAAATAGTATGGATGAATAGAGCAGACTGTGGAAGTGCATTGTACTGCACACAGTGTCCACACTCTACATCTGGCATTATTCTGTTTTGTCCAAAATCTGTATCTCCACTGTAACTTCTCTCTCTCTTTCTGTAAATGCATTTTACTTATTTTTCTGGGCCACAGAGTTTTTTTGTTTTTGTTGTTGCTGTTTTTTATTTTTGTTCAAATGAATACTGAGTAGCTCCTATTGTATAAGCAAGAGACACACAGGGAGTAGTGCTTGGTGTCAGCCTGCTTCTCAGGTCGATCTGCAGCATCAAGATGTAGGAAGTCATCATCAGAAATTACAGGGGATGTTGAGGGACAAAACCAAATATGATGAGACACCAGTTATTTTCTTTTTGTCTCAGTGTCCACTGTGATTTCTAATGATGGTATCCTATGTTTCGCTGTAACTTACAATTTCAATTTTTTTCTATAGTTCCTCTAATTATGTTTATGATGAAAACTAAAGAATATTGCTGAAATAAAGCAATGACTTAAAGCAAGGAAATATGCCATGCTCATATGTTAGAAGACTTAATATTGTAACATTTCATTTCTTTCTAAATTGATACATAGATCCAACACAATCCTAGCAAGTCAAAATCTCAGCAGGCTTTTTTATTTTTATTTTTTTATAGAAATCAGCAGTCTGATTCTAAAATGCATTTTGAAATACCAAGGACCTAGAATAGCCAGAACAACTTTGAAAAAGAACAAAATTAGAGGACTCGCATTCCCCAGTTTCAAAGCTTATTGTACAACTACAGTAATCAAGACTGTGTGGTAATGATTTACAGAGAAAAGTAAATCAATATAGATCAGAATACAGCATCCAAAAATAGACCTATATGTACATGGGCAAGCAATTTTTGACAAAGGTGCAAAAACCATTCAGAGAAGAATGGATAATCTTTTCAACAAATGGTACTGGAACAATTGGATAGCAATGCAAAAAAAAAAAAAAAAAAAAAAAAACCTTCATTCCACACCTTGAACCATGTAAAATTTATCTGAAAATGGATCATAGGCCTAAATATAAAACCTAAAACTACAAAGCTTCTTGAAGAAAACATATGATGAAACCTGATAAAAACTGTTTTTTTTTTTTTTATTGTGTCTTAATTTGGAGTGCACTAAATATCAACAGAGATAGCACACCTAAATAAGAGCTCTTTGGGGTTTTCAGTGCTTCTGAAAAGGAGTCCTGAGTGATTTGAGAATGACTACTGTAGATTTTATAGCCTTTAGTATTTCCTAGTGGAATTCAAAACAAAAAATAAGCATTTCCACAATTGTTACATGCTTAATAAAACTTCTGCATGATCAATAGTGATAAAAAGTATCAAAAAGTTTTTGTCTTTTTCAGTTTGTATGAATGTAGAGTAAAGCTGAGATCTTCATGAACTATTCTTTAGAATCAATCCTACTTACAGGCTGCCAGCATCTAGGGCTTAGCAAAAACCTCATTGGTTTAGGCACATCTCTACCTGAGGGTAGAAATGTGAAAGGCTTAACCCTTGGGTTTCTAATGTCTGCCACTCTGTGCTATGAGTCACAGTCACTGAAATATTTAAAGTGGTTTAATGTCATCACTAGTATTTAGAGAGAGTCATGGATCAGAATCTTGCCATTGTTAGAGTGGGCAATGCTGCATATATATTTTTTTTAATCCTCCCAGACACCCTATAAATGGACACAGTGGATGTTAGCTGTTTTTGTCTGCCTGGTATTTCTCTGCCCCTTCTTTTTATAGTGTCTCATGCCCCTGTTATTCAACCCTACCCCATCCACGTGATTCTGGTCATGTTATTCATCATGAATACCATTCTACCTGGTGTGGGTTAGTCTAGTACCTAGACTACAGCATGCAGCAGTCTGAGTTCTTCCTAGACATTTAAAAATTGATGAGGGTGTGGCATTTGGTATAGCCATTAAAGACTTATTAGGATACTTGTGTCCTGTAGCTGAGTATCTGGATTTGATCCCCAGTTCTGGCTCTTTATTCTGGCTTCCTGCTATTGTGGATTCTGGGAGGCAGCAATGATGGCTCAAGTAGTTAGGTTCTTGCCTCCCATGTGAAAAACCCTCTCCTTCTTCTTGTCTCTGAAATACAAATAAAAGGGAGAGAGGGGCTGGTGTTGTTGCTACCTGCAATGCTGGCATTTTTTGTGGCACGGGGTTCGAGAACCAGCTATTTCACTTTTGATGCAGCTCCCTGTTGATGTACCTGGGAAAGCAGTGGAAGGTGGCTCACATGCTTGGGCTCCTACACCAACATGGGAGACCTGGTGAAGCTCCCAGCTCCTGGCCATTGCAGCCATTTGGGGAGTGAACCAGTAGATGGCAGATCTCTCTGTCTTCCCCCCTCTCTCTGTAACTCTACCATTCAAATAAATAAAATAAATCTTAAAAAAAAAAAAAAAAGGTGAGAAAACAAAACAAAAAACTGAAGTAGGAAGGGAAACTTGTTCTTTTCTATAATGTGTATAATAAGCTAGATAAATTGAATCCAGCCCTACAGTGGCTGTGTTTCTCATCACAGGAGAAAACCTCTAGATAGCACTGTCCAGTACACTGTAATAATTGTACAAGCCACATATGTAATTTAACATTTTCTAGTAGCCACATGAAAATAACTAAAAGGAAACAAGTGAAATTAGTTTTGATTATATGTATTATTTAACCTGTTACACTCAAAATATGTCAACATGTAATCAGAATAAAGTTATTATTTTTTTATTTGACAGGTAGAGTTATAGACAGTGAGAGAGAGAGAGAGAGAGAGAGAGAGAGAGAGAAAGGTCTTCCTTCCGTTGGTTCACTCCCCAAATGGCCGCCACAGCCGGCACTGCGCCGATCCGAAGCCAGGAGCCAGGTGCTTCTTCCTGGTCTCCCATGCGGGTGCAAGCACTTGGGCCATCCTCCACTGCCCTCCTGGGCCACAGCGGAGAGCTGGACTGGAAGAGGAGCAACTGGGACTAGAACCCAGCACCCATATGGGATGCCGGCGCCACAGGCAGAGGATTAACCAAGTGAGCCATCGCGCCGGCCCCCAGAATAAAATTATTAATAAGTATATATCTGAGGCTACTTCAAAAGTTTCATGGAAAATGCATATTATGATACTCATAATACACACAGAGTATTATGTAAGTCTTTTTCTTTATGCTCCCAGTCAACTTACCTTTTAATTCTGATTTTTCATGAACTTTTTGAAGCACCCTCGTGCCTATGTTTTCTGCTGAGTCTGAAATCTGGTGTGTATTTTACCACCGCTCAATTCAGAATAGTCACATTTCAATTGCTCAATAGCCACCTTGGCTCAGGAGCTGCCATATTAGACAGCACAGCTTTATACAGTGGACATGAAAGAAGCTAACATGGAAAAAGAGGCAAAGATGAGAGAGTGGTGAGGTTTTAGGGGGAGTCCTTGAGGTTTGAGTAACTTTTTGGGCTCTAGCTCCTGTAACCAGCTTGCTCTTAGGGTCTTTGAGCTCGCCCCATAGTTTTCCAGTAAATAACTTCTTTTGCTTGAGTATGATTTGGGTTCTGTTGATTGTAATCAAAAGAATCTTGACATACAGTCAGGCATCCTTTTTTATTTTAAGATTTATTTATTTATGTGAAAGGCAGATTGACACAGAAAGAAGAAGCTCAGGAGAGAAAGAGGGAGGTCTTTCATCTGCTGATTCTTTTCCCAAATAGCTGCAACAAGTGGGGCTGGGTCAAGGTGAAGCCAGGAGCCTGGAACTCCATCTGGGTCTCCCGTTTGCAGGGACTCACGTACTTGGGCCAACTTCTGCTGCCTTCCCAGGTGTATTAGCAGGGAGCTGGATTGGAAGTGGAGCAGCTGGAACTCTAACCAGGTATTGATATGGGAAGTCAGTGTCTTGCCAGAATATGGCCCCTATTCTTTGTTAAGGAAACTTAAGCTGAGAGAAATCAGGTGGGTTATTCAGGGTTAATGCATGGATTTCATTCCATCCTGGTTGGTCTCCTTCAGTCCATGCTCTTTCTACCACAGGAGATTGCCACGGCAGGCTCTTGTAGAGCAGGTCCTGTCTCTGAATGAAGAGTTGGAATGTCTGTGCCCAACATAAGTCTTTCCAACCTTTAATACAATGCAGTTATGAAAACACTGGGGTTTTGTTTTGTTTTTGACAACAGGTGTTTTGGTGGAGATCCGGTAGCCCTGTCAACTTATTTCACCTTCTCTTTATCAAACAATGACATGAGCCAGTCACTTGACAGTGAATGGAACCTCGCTTGGCACTGCGTGTCTTGTGGTTCTGTGCATGCCTGCTGTCTTGCACACTGGTGACGTAATCCAGTCTTGTCTCATGAGAGCCTGTCCAGGAAACTTTATTAGCACCTCTAAACAATTTTGCCACTAAAGAGCGAGACTTACGAGCCTTGTTAAGGCAGTGTAAGATCTGTTTTCCAACCTGAATAAAGTTAAGCAAGTTCTCATAAAAATTTTAAAATGATTCAGTCTTTTCTAGATGTCATAACTGATGTTGCAAAAAGAAAAAAGATATCAGGATGAACCTTTTTTTTATATTTTTTGTCTTTCAGTCATTCTTTCAAATGATTCCAGCACTACTGAAGTTCAGTCGAAAGTCAATCCATTTTAGAAAATTGCAAAAGACCTACAAGCTTGAGAGTTAGCACGAATAAGGCTGACTTTAGGCTAGGGTAATAATTATAGTAAAAAAACACTGTACTTGGATGGAACACAGCTAAACATTTAGCTTAATGTATTTATCCCATTAACACACTACCAGCAGTTTCATTGTTAGACAATAACATAAAAAATTAAGGCAGTTTAAAACTGTAGTAGGCAGTGCGACATAAAACGTGTCCAAATTAAAATCTATATAGCAAGAGTGCTGACTGGTTTCTAAGTGTGAGCTCTGAACTTGTTATCACCATCACATTTTCTCACTTGAAAATTCCATTCCTGCCTCCTTTACGCCACGTATTAAAAATCTGAAAAAAAATGCTGGATTTACATTGAGCTTCTCCCTGTTCGTAATCTTGTCAGACTGTTCATGCTTTTCATCTACAGGCTCTGCAGCTGGCAGCCAAATCTCAGGGCCCTCACAACTCTGCGCATCAGATCCCAGCCGTGACAGGAGCCCCTCCCTTGCTCTGGTTCTTCTGTAATTGCCTCTCTGTATTTTTAAGCTTAAATAGCCTGGTCCTTTCTTTGCCTAAGTGAAGGAAGTACGCACATGCACTCACACAGCGTGGAGCGACTTTTGGAGGAGCTGACAAAGAATGTCTTGACTTGTGTGGTTCTTTTCAAGGATGTTTTCTTGGACTCATTCACTAGGCTATTGATGCGTTACGTGTATTTTCTGTATTTGCATTTTATTTTGCGCTAAAAAGGTAAGATACTTTTTAAAAAGCAAGACATTGAATAAGAGAGTTTTGAGGATTACATTTTCTCTTCATTTGCCCTATTACCTTTTATTTAGAAACCCAGGGCCGTGAAATTTATACTACTGTAAGAAAATCTCCTTCAGAGTCACCCTTGGAAAGGGATCCCTACTTCCATTCAAAAAATATATATTGAATCTTTATCGTTCTGTGAGTCTGGCCTTGTCTTTGATACTGAAGATATAGATGGTGGCAAATATAAACATGTAGTCCGAGTCTTCACCATGCTTTATTAGTCATATCAATAATATCACAATTTCAAAGTGTTTATTCTTTGGTGTACTGTTTGAGACTATTATCTTAACAATTTATATTTATATCTGAAGCCATTGACATTCTTCTTGGTAGACATTTATTAATAGGTAGCATATAAAGGGTGGATGTTGTGACATAATGGGTTAAACCACTACCTGGGACTCCTGTGTCACATATTGGGGTGCGTAGTTATAATCTGGGCTAATTGGCTTCCAGTACAGCCGCTTTTTTTTTTTTTTTTTTTTTTTTTTTTTTTTTGACAGAGTGGACAGTGAGAGAGAGAGAGAGAGAAAGGTCTTCCTTTTTCCGTTGGTTCACCCCTCAATGGCTGCTGCGGCCGGCATATCGTACTGATCTGAAGCCAGGAGCCAGGTGCTTCTCCTGGTCTCCCATGCAGGCGCGGGACCCAAGGACTTGGGCCATCCTCCACTGTCTTCCCAGGCCACAGCAGAGAGCTGGACTGGAAGAGGAGCAACCGGGACAGAATCCGGCGCCCCGACTGGGACTAGAACCTGGTGTGCCAGTGCCACAGGCAGAGGATTAGCCTAGTGAGCCGCGGCGTGTTCCCCAGTACAGCTTCTTGCTACTGTGTATCCTGGGAGGTGGAGGAGGGTCGCTCAAGTGTCTGAGTCCCTGCTGCCCATGTGAGAGTCCTGGACAGAACTCTACAGGCTCCTGGCTTCAGCGTAGCCCAGCTCTGGCTGTTGTGGGCATTTGGGTGATGAACCAGTAGGTGGAAGATCTCTGTCTCTGCCTCTTTTTCTGTCATTCTGCCTTTCAAATAAATGAACATTAAAACAAATAGGTAATATATTAGTTATTTATTACTGTGGAATAAACTATTCCAAAATGTAGTGGCTTAAAACAGCAAATCTTCAGTATCTCCCTGTTTTTCTGGGTAAAAATTGGGCAATGACTTAGCTGGGATGTTCTGGGTCAATGGCCCTCAGGTGGTTGTGGTCAGTATGCTGACAGTGGCTGTAGTCATCTGAAGGGTTAACTGGACCTGGAGGAGTCATTTCTAAGGTGGCTCACTCATGTGACTATTGGCAGGAAGGCCCAGTTCCTCGTCATGTGGGCCTCTCTGTAGGCCGCTTGAGTGTCCTCACGACGTGGAACCTGGCTTCTTCCAGAGCAAGCGGTCCAACAGCTTGGACCTTGTGACCTCATGTCTGAATCTGTCACCGGGGTTTCCTTCTGTTCACTTCATTGGAAGTTATTTAAATCCAGACCATATTTAAGGGAAATGGAATGAATCTCTGTATCTTCAAGATAAGAATATCAAAGGGTTCATAGATGTATTTTTAAAACCACCACATGAGGTATTAGGTAGGTAGATAGTTGGAGAGACAGAAATAGACTAGATTTTTTTTAAAAAGATTTATTTATTTATTTGAAAGTCAGAGAGAGGGAGAGGGAGAGATACCTAGAGAGATCTTCCATCTGCTGGTTCACTTCCCAGATGGCTGCAACAGACAAGGCTGGGCCAGGCTGAAGCCAGGAGCCAGGAGTGTTTAAAGAATAATGGTAAGAAAAAAATTATGTACATGTTCAGCACAGGTATAATTAAATTTTGATCTGCTATTGGTTGGATTGGTGGAATCCATGAATGCACAATTTAGAGAAATGGAAAGCTGATTGTATATACCCAATAAGAATGCCTTTTAAAGAAAAATAAGTATGTGTATATTTACACACATATGTAATATATGAAATGATTTAATGATAATGTAGATGAGTTCTCATATTATTTGAGTGGACCCTACTTTTTCTACTGTTTATTTAAAAAAAAATCATGATCCACATAATAATAATTAGAATATTAAATCTTAAGGAAACATTAGAGGAGATATAATTCTGGAACTCATTCTGTTTTTGTTCAGAATATATATTTTACTTGGTATGATGAGACCAGCCTAATAAAGAATAGAAACAGACTTGTGATTATGTAATAGCCTGCAATTATTTTTATGGCTATTGCATTCCGATCTTCTTATGCAATATTTACAGTGTACATGTGTAGCAAGGGCATAAAAATACAAGTTTGAACAATCTTAACCGTAAATCAGAACCAAGTCACGCAATGTAACATTTGTGAAATCCTTTGGCTAATGCAGACAACCTTTGTTCAGAATACATAAAATATCAAGTTACAGCTTTGTGGTAGATTTGGGATTTTATGTGTAAGTTCTAAAACCTGATTACCTCCACCCCATCATTAAAGATTCTGCCAAGACAATTTGATATTGATTTAATTGTGAATATGGTAAAAAAAAAAAAAAAACTCTTATATCACATTTTGAAAAAAAAATGTTTTATATATTATATGAATGTGATGAGAATTTTTCAGCAGATATGGCTACAAAAGATTATGATTCAGCCTGAAAACATAACCTATGGAAAGTCATCAACTGTACAGAATGAGCTCTTCAGATGACAGATCTTACTAAGAAAATCTGCCAATGAAAGATAGAGAGTGCTAGAAGAAAAAGAATCTCATTGACTTTCAACATATGGCCCCGACACTGACATATCTTATAGTTTTTAGTGAATAGCAACTTAAAATAACTGGATTGATGAAAACTAAAAAAGCGAGTGCATGAATTTTAAAACTTCTGCTTTGATTTTTTTTTCATTTTTATTTTACAGGGTGTTGTAATGGAGAATAACATAAATATGTCTAAGAGAATGATGAAGGGGTATTTCTTAATTACATTTTCACCTTTCAGAATAATAGATTCTTAGCACACTGAAAATAAAGACATCTATCTGTGTAAGTTAATACAGGTATGAGGAAAATCCCCCATCACCTATTATCTTCATTATTGAATCAGTCGGCTATATACTTCCTGCATTTATTCTTTTCTTCCTTTCTATTCTCTGCAATTCCTTCTCTTTTTTTAAGTGTTGCAGTGAGTATTTAAAAAAAGAAAGGGGCCACTATAGATCATCTGATTTATTTTCTTGGTATTAGGCAGATTATACAATATATCTGAAAGTCTGTGATTATTATCTTATATACCTATTTTTTTCCTTCATTCAGTATTTATTGAGTACCAACTATGTGGGAAGCACTACACTAGAGAAATCTATAACTTACAGGGCAAATGATGTCTGATGTATTTTCAGATATCTTTGGAATATAATAGGTTACAGAGTTAGAGCCAGTTATGCTTACAGGTCATATCTACTTACAACCTTTCCTTCCTTGAAATGGAACTGATTCAGAGTGGCATTCCTTCTGGTGAGCTTCGTTCTTCCTAAATTCCCAACAGCATGGGAATTGTGGTGATAAATTAGAGCAGCATCGGCCCAGCAGGAACATTGGCTGTTAAGTAACTGGGAACCGTGGATAAATGTAGACACACTGTAATGCCAGCATTCCAGCCGTGCTGCTTACTAACGGTGGGCCTGGGATTCCTCATCTAAAAGAAAAAAAATGAGGATGCAACTACCTACTTCGAAGAGTGGCTTGAAGACTAAATGAGTTAAAACCAGTTAGTTCAGTGAGTACCATAGAGTCCTCCATAGCTGTTCTCTATTATTATTCCAGTTACTTTGATTGTTATAAAAACTCTTAAAATGACAGAGCAAATATTTACTAAGTGCTATTTCAGGTTACTAAGATATACACAACAAATCCAAGTTTAGCTGTCACAGGGAATAAAGTTAAGAGTTAGACCTATTCTTAGGCACTGTACCAAATAGCTTCATTAACCCAACTATAATCAAATTACTTTTTCACTCTAGTTTTCCTTATTGCTCCAGGAAATTTTTTTTAAATTCACACAACAGCTTTCTGGTGTCTGTTTCTGCCTGCTCCGGGGTGCTATGAAAGCTGTCCCCTTTGTTAGCTAATCTGACAAGTTTCTATCCATGAGCGCCTGCTCTAATGCTCCGTGCATGTTTCTTTTTCTCTGTCCCATTTCCAGTACCTTGGCTCTCCTCAAAAAACCCCAAGGAAGTGTTTCTTTTATTCTATTAAAAAAAAAATCATTTCTGACTGTCCTAGCCAGAAAAGCTTACTTGTGACTACAGTCTTTGAAGTACTTTCTTTCCATATCAATCTTAAATTGTCAACAACGTGGCTTTGTGCTAAAAGATATTTTCTTTAAAAGGTTGGGTATACATTTCTTTCTATATATGGGCATTTAAACCCATCAGAACAAAGCAGTGTTTCATATGTAAAGTTCATTGAACTTTGTTCTCAAGTAAAATTACATGCAAGATTTGTGGATCTGTCTCTTTGCCTCTAAATAAAAAGAAATAAATATTTTTAAAAATAACGGCAAGTCTTTGGCCTAGCAGTTGGGGTGCCTGTGTCCCTGTAATAAGAATACCTAGCTTCCTGTTAACGTGTGCCTTGGGAGACAGCAGTGATGGTGCAGGTGGGAGACCTTTACTGAGTTCCTGGCTCTATACTTTGGCCTAACCCAGCCCCAATTTGTTGGCTAGCATTTGGGGAGGGAACAATCAGGTGGGAGCTCTGGCTGACTGTCACTCTGTCTCTGTCTTTCTGCCTCTCAAAGGAAGAAAATAAATTTTTTAAATGTTTTGTGCATTTTTGTTTTTGTAAGATACACAAAAAAGTGCTAAGTCACAGTTAAGCCCTCGGTAATAGCTCAAGCTTGCGGCCAGACTGCCCACATTACTTTATAACCTTGACAAGTTACTCAAATCCCCAAAGCCCCAGTTTCCTGAATGATAAAATGTAAAATAGAAATGTAAAAACCCATAAAATACCACCCCTCAAAGTAAGAATTATTAATATTACTAATATTATACTGTTAATAATATGTTATTTGTCAATTCCGACTTTCCTGCTAGTTTTCTTCATTGGTATCTCTGAGTTTATGGTGTATTGTGGACCTACCTCATCCTTTACAAAAAAAAAAAAGAGGTTGTATAGGATGCAGGGTTTCATTAAATGAATGTGTCACAATTTAACTAATGGGCCCTTAGTACCTGATACTAAGATTGTTTTCATTGTTTTGTGGGGAGTGCTGCAGTGAATATCCATGAGCAATATGATATGGATCTGATCGCTAATTTAGGCTAAAGTCTTAGAAATGGTATTGCTGGCCGGCGCTGCGGCTCACTAGGCTAATCCTCCGCCTAGCGGTGCCGGCACACCGGGTTCTAGTCCCGGTCGGGGCGCCCGATTCTGTCCCAGTTGCCCCTCTTCCAGGCCAGCCCTCTGCTGTGGCCAGGGAGTGCAGTGGAGGATGGCCCAGGTGCTTGGGCCCTGCACCCCATGGGAGACCAGGAAAAGCACCTGGCTCCTGGCTCCTGCCATCGGATCAGCGTGGTGCGCCGGCCGCAGCGTGCTGGCCGCGGTGGCCATTGGAGGGTGAACCAACGGCAAAAGGAAGACCTTTCTCTCTGTCTCTCTCTCTCTCACTGTCCACTCTGCCTGTCAAAAAAAAAAAAAAAAAAAGAAAGAAAGAAAAAGAAATGGTATTGCTGAGTTGAGGGATATCCCAGAATTTTTTTTTTTTTTTTTTGGACAGGCAGAGTTAGACAGTGAGAGAGAGAGAGACAGAGAGAAAGGTCTTCCTTTTTCCATTGGTTCACCCCCCCCAAATAGCTGCTGCGGCCCACGCGCTGTGCCGATCCGAAGCCAGAAGCCAGAAGCCAGGTGCTTCTTCCTAGTCTCCCATGCGGGTGCAGGGCCCAAGCACTTGGGCCATCCTCCACTGCCTTCCCCAGCCACAGCAGAGAGCTGGACTGGAAGAGGAGCAACCAGGACAGAATCCGGCACCCCAACTGGGACTGGAACCCGGAGTGCCGATGCTGCAGGTGGAGGATTAGCCAAATGAGCCACGGCGCCGGCCAATATCCCAGAATTAATACACAAATATAAATACATTGATACACACACACCTTACCCAAGGTATTCCAGTCTCATCATTATTGACATTTTTGGCCACATAATCCTTTTCATATTGCTGGGGTCTGTCCCTTGCATTGCAGGATGGTTAGCAGCGTTCCTGGCCTCCACTCACTAGATGGTAGAATGCTTCTTTTGCTCTCTGTTGTGACAGCAAAAAATATCTCAGATGTTGCTAAATGCCACCTGGAGGACAAGGTTGCTCATAGTTGAAAGCTATTGCAGATAGAGTACCTGAATTCTGAGAGAAGGGGTCTCAGATTAGGATTTAAGAAGAAAAATATAAATTTATCCCTTTTTAGATTTGTGTGTGTTTTTTAAAAAACAGGATTCTCCCCTGGCCCCTACCTAGGAAATTGTGCCATATTTAGCAGTGGTAAATCTTCAGGGGACCAATTTCCCTTTCTCTGGGCTTTTCTTCATTCTTTTTTCCTTACTGACCTCCATGGCATTAATAGGGGTGAGAGAAGATGAACAGTGTGAAGTACTTAAGGGAGGGCATGGTCCCTCCTACAGACAAGAGCCAGAAGCAGGGGCCTGTTCAGCACCTCAGGAGTGCTCTTTAGGGAGAATGTGGGTTTTCTAGCTCTTGTTTGAGGTATAAATTTTCCTTGAGAATAGTAAGCCTTATCTATACTTGTAGTGAAATAGTCCATGCAGTGTTGGGGGATAGAAAGTTTGACACAGACTAGAAAAAAAAAGGGCAATATTTGAGTGTGCTTCCTTACAAAGTGTCTAGAAGAGTCACAGATTTTTTTCAGGTCAAGGACCCTTGGAAACATTGAACCCTAAAGATTTCCCATACTGCAAAGTCTTACAAGGACAACTGTTGCTCATGCCTGCTCCCATTTTTAACACAAAGCACACAAAATATAGCTTATGGGAGTTCTAACATGCTGTGCTTTTCCCTTGATCACAATCTGAACTATTTGGATCTGACAGAGTGTACAGGACACAGAATCGTCTTGATTAGACTGCATTTCTCTTTAAAAGCTGAGCAGGCTGGTGTTTTGTTTTGCTATTGTTGCTTTTTAAAAATGTAGACTGACTAGGACTTCAGGCTCCCAACAAGATAGCCTTGGAACTGTACAACCTTGGGGCCCCACCCCTATAGTAAACAGAGACTCCCTGGTACATAATGGCGTCCCTTCTAGGCAAGGAAAATTTCTACTTAGGTAAAAAAGGATGAAAGGTTAAATTTTAAATTATGGGTTTTATATCCTTTATCCAAAATGCCTGGGGCTAGATGTGTTACAGATTTGGATTTTTTCAGATTTTGAAATCTTTACATTTCCATAATGATATTTCTTGGGGATAGGACAAAAGTTTAGACACAAAGTTTACTCATGTTTCATATACGCCCTGTATACCTTGCCCCAAAATAATTTTTTAGTATAGTTGTGATTTTACTGTGACCTGTCACGTGAGATCAGGTGTAGAATTTTCCACTTGTAGCATCATGACAATATTGGAAAAGATTCAGAGTTTGGATTTTGAATTTTGTTAATTAATTGGTTGGTTGATTTTATTTAAAAAACAGAGAGCTAGAGAGAGATCTCTCTGATGCACTGGTTCACTCCCCACAAGCCCACAACAACTGGGGCTGGCCTGGGTTGGGCTAGAGCTAGGAGCCAAAAACCAACCCAGGTCTCCTGTCTCCCATGGGAATGAATGGGACCCAACTACTGAAGCCATCATCTGCTGTCTTGCAAGGGTATGCACTATCAGGAAGCTGGGATGTAGAGTAGAGCTAGGACTCAAACCCAGATACTTCAGTATGAGATACAGATGTCCCGGGCATCATCCTAGCTACTGCAGCAAACATCTACTTGTCCAGTGTAGAGTTTAGATGTGGTGCTCAACCTGTATAGCCGCTATAAAAACAAGACCCTGGGTGTGTGTGTTTGTGTGCACCTATGTGCAGTGTGTCTTTTAGGGGACATAAATTGGTTTTGCTTTCTGAACAAGTTTTGTACTTTTGTATTTTACTTTTCATAGATATGGAAACCTTTTTTAAACAAATTTTCAAATACAGTATGCAGTAGTTGCCACTTATATTTCAGAAGTCATTGCAAATATGCAGCTAATTCAAATGGAGGGTTTTTTGGGGATTTATGATTCCTGAAACTAATATAATTGGTTATATCATTTGAATAAGACTTTGTACTTCCACATTATCTCATGTATTTTTCCTTTTGTTTGTATACTTCATATTATAGATTATTAGATTTAATTAGAAGATTTTAAGGTAGTACTTTTTTTACACTTATTGGTTATAAGTTTTTTTTTGGGGGGACTAACTCCTATTTCAGTAATTTAACATAGTTTACTTAAATAATTTAAATCCTATGTAATTACTTGATATTTTTAATAGAAAGTTTTGTCATCTCAGTTTTTCTGTTCAAAATATTCTGTAAATATTCTCTCAGATCCTGTTGTCTTTCATACTAAAAGTCTTTGCAACCTTCTTAGCATTTGGGTCTTAGAGACAAATACTAAAATTATCCAGAGCCTTGCCTACTTACTGACAATAGAATGCAATATAATTAGTAATTACTGGGGATGAAGAGACTAGTTGGTTATAAAGACATAAATGTTTATAATAACAAAGCATAACCTCCTATATTTGAATATCTTCTTACAGAATTTTTAAGTAAGGTTTCTCCTCTTTAAGGACTAAAGTTTTAAGAGATGACTGCTGCTCTTTGTTCCTATATGTTTTATGAATTTAAAATATTTTTATAGCATGTATAAGATGCTATTAAAATTGTATTAACTTTTTGGCTTTTATTCCATAGTATAATTATCTTTGATTATAGACTTCAGAAGGTATTGTACCGTGGAGCTGTTTATTTCACGAAAGAATTTCACATAAGATTCTAGAACTTACATTCTAAGAGATAAGGCTATCCTTTTTAAAGCAATTTAAAGCTAAATAAATGTTATTTCAGGGAAAGACTGAAGTAAATTTTTTTTTGTTACTGTTAAGGACAATTATCTCTCGTTTTGTATAACAGATACTCTTGATCTTGGGTTGTTGTGAACACCCAGAATGTCTAGCAATACCTTCTTTGGTCATATCTCTTCAGTTTCTTTCCTATCTTCCCTCCCATTTCTTCAGCCCTACCCTAAAGAAAATGCTCGGGAAACAGAATGAAAGTATTATATCATGTTATTAGATTTCCTGTCTTTAGTTCTCTAGAGTGCCAGGGTCTTGGGAAGGAAGGACAATGTTAAGTGTGGTTTCTATGAAATCCATTATATGCCAAGAAAATTAAATACACGTGAAGAGGAATCAAGGATGACCTCTGGGTTTCTGGCTTGAGTAACTGGGAATGGTGGTGCCATTTACCTAGATGAAAGGATAGAGATCGGGGTGGGATACAAGTGTGTGTGTGGAATTGGGGGATGGATGGGAGGATAAGCAGGTTGAGGGTTTGACCAAGAATTCTGGTTTGAATGTGTTAATTTGGAACTGCCTTTTAGACAGCTAGATAGAGATGCCCAACATATAGGACATGCAAATCTGGAGTTCAGAAGAGAGGCTGAGGTAGACATATAAACTTGGAAATGTTCAGCATGAAGGCATTACTTATTCCATTGGAATGTCTGTGGTCACCCGGGAAGAAGATAAATAGAATGAAGTCCTGAGGGATATTTGGGAGTTAAGTAGAGGAGAAGAAGTCAACAAAGGAGACTGATAAGGGTGGTTGATGGGATGGTAGAACAACTAGGGAGAGTCGCATTGCAGAAGCAAAGAGAAAAGATGGATCCGAAGAAGACATGGTTGGTGGAATCTAATGCTGCCGAGCACTGAGAGGAAAAGAAAGGATATGGTGGCCACCTTACTCTTCTGTAGTCATTAATTCATTTAAAAATTATCTATTTATGTATTTTCATTTTATTTGAAAGGCAGAGAGATGTAGACAGAGATCGTCAATCCTCTGGTTCACTCTCTAAATGGCAACAACAGCTGGGGTTATATGAGGCCAAAGCCAGCAGCCCAGAACTGAATCCCAATGACCCATGTGGGTTACAGGGACCAAGTACTTGTGCTGTCATCTGCCTCTCAAGGTACATGTTAGCAGGAAGCTGGAATCGCAAGTGGGGTCAGGGCTTGAACCCCAATATTGTGATATGGAATATGGACATACTAAGTGGCATCTTAACTGATAGGTCAAACACATGCCCCTCATTTGTTCATTTATTAGTTTATCATTAAGCAAATGATTCTGAATTAGGTTCATTTTACAGTTATTCATATTTGCCACATGAACCAATTTTTCATCCTTTATATTCATGTCAGTTGAACACACAAATTAATACATGTTCCCAAATAAGTTGGGAAACATTGATCTCAACTTCTCCAGCAACTTTCATTTAATATAGAGAAATTTGCAGATTAAAAGAACAGAAATAAAAATCAGTTCTCAAAAAGCCATCAAGTATGCCAGAGTTTCCTCAAAACAGATTTCAGAATTGTGACTACTTGGGGAGGATGATGGAGAAGAGGACGTGAAGGGGTGGGGGCTCCACAGGCACTTGCTTTGTATTTAGTGTTGTGTTTCTTTTGTTAAATCACTGTCTGGACTATTTCATTTAAGGAAAAAGCTGGTCAAACTCTTCCACATGTTTTAGATATTTAGCATTTGACAATCCAATGACAATGTTTATTCATTTTCTTCTGGTTGAAATATAAGTAGTCAGGAATTTTAAAAAGGTAAAATGAAAGCTTTTTGCACTCTTTATTAGGAAGTATTGCTTACTAAAGAAAATTTTTATGACTTATTGAATTATGTTATTTTATGTAAATCTTTTTGTATACAGTAAGTAAACATATTGTTTGACTACTGATAAAGTATGCCCATTGTATATTTTTAAAAATAAAACTTTGAGATCTATGGCTTTGGTCATGTATCCTACCTTTATAATTCTTTTCATGGGAAATTCAGGGCCTAATTACACTGTTTGAATTTACAGTGCTTATTAAGGATTGTAATTCTCTGTAAATGTAAGCACTACCTTTAATTGAAGTAAGGGTGGGTGGATTTCATTTTATTGATTAAAACCATGTCATAGACAGTAGAAGGTTCATGTTTGTATTTTCACATGGATCTATTTTTAAAAACTCAGAATTATATTCTATGCCTGTAATGTTTTATTGGTAGCAGTATTACCAGTATAAGTTTATTTATTTATTTTTGACAGGCAGATTGGACAGTGAGAGAGAGAGAGACAGAGAGAAAGGTCTTCCTTTGCCGTTGGTTCACCCACTAATGGCCACAGTGGCCGGCGCACTGCGCTGATCCGAAGGCAGGAGCCAGGTGCTTCTCCTGGTCTCCCATGGGGTGCAGGGCCCAAGCACTTGGGCCATCCTCCACTGCACTCCGGGGCCACAGCAGAGAGCTGGCCTGGAAGAGGAGCAACCGGGACAGAATCCGGTGCCCCGACCGGGACTAGAACCCGGTGTGCTGGCGCTGCAGGTGGAGGATTAGCCTATTGAGCCACGGCGCCGGCCAGTAGAAGTTTATTTTATACCATTTTTCAACATGCTAGCTAAAAAAAAAAAAAGTCATAAATCTATGCTCATAGTTAACTTTATGTATATATTTTTTCTACAGATATAGTATACATTACTTTGAGTAAGGAATTATTCATTTTTTTTATTTGAGAGGCAAAGAAAGAATGTACATACACACACTCCTATACAATGGTTCAGTTCCCAAAAGCCCACAATGGCTGGAGCTGGGCTGGAGCTGTGCTGGAGCTGGGAACTTGCCCACACAGGTGGCAAGAACTCAGTTACTTGGGCCATGAATGCTGCTTCCCAGAGTTTGCAGTGGCAGAAAGCTGGAATCAGGAGCCAGAGCCAGGAATTGACCCCAAGCATTCTAATGAGGGCTAGACTAAATGCCCACTCCTGTGTAGTGAACTCTTTTTTTTTTTTTTTTTTTTTTTTTTTTTTTAACAGGCAGAGTTAGTAAGAGAGAGACAGAAAGAAAGGTCTTCCTTCCGTTGGTTCACCCCCCAAATGGCTGCCACGGCCGGTGCGCTGCGCCAATCCGAAGCCAGGAGCCAGGCGCTTCCTCCTGGTCTCCCATGCAGGTGCAGGGCCCAAGCACTTGGGCCATCCTCCACTGCCCTCCCGGGCCACGGCAGAGAGCTGGACTGGAAGAGGAGCAACCGGGACAGAATCTGGTGCCCCAACCGGGATTAGGACCTGGGGTGCCGGTGCCACAGGCAGAGAATTAGCCAAGTGAGCCGGGGCACTGGCCATGTAGTGAATTCTTAAAACCACAGAAGTTCATTATTTAAGAAACCCTATGGCCAATTACCTTACAGAGTGATTAATGTTTTATAAATTCAGATTGTTAGATTTCTTCTTATTGCTGATTTCAGAATTGGATTACATAGTCTGAGGTTTAAGCTTAAAATTTTGTGATGTTCATTTTAAAAATAACTATTCTGTCAAGCATTTTAGAAAAAGTTTTAAGTACTTATATATCCTTAAATGAAAACAGCAATCAGAACATTGAAAATGAGAGAGGAAGAGGATTTGAACTCAGCACCTGGATTTGTGTTGGACTGGCTACTTGGATGGGACAGAAGAATTTCTACCTCCTGTCTCAAGTTAAGGGAAAACACTCTCCAGAAATGGTGGGAGAGATGTAGCTTCTGCTCTGGACAAGATACAGACAGTGACTTTTTGTGGTAGTGGTTATTGAATAGCAGTAGGTCAAACAAGTACTCGTGTTACAAGAGGCCAGTCTGTGGCCGGCGCCACGGCTCACTAGGCTAATCCTCCGCCTGCGCTGCTGGCACACCGGATTCTAGTCCCGGTCGGGGTGCCGGATTCTGTCCTGGTTGCTCCTCTTCCAGGCCAGCTCTCTGCTGTGGCCCCGGAGTGCAGTGGAGGATGGCCCAAGTGCTTGGGCCCTGCACCCCATGGGAGACCAGGAGAAGCACCTGGCTCCTGCCTTCGGATCAGCACAGTGTGCCGGCTGCAGCGCGCCAGCCGCGGTGGCCATTGGAGGGTGAACCAACGGCAAAAGGAAGACCTTTCTCTCTGTCTCTCTCTTTCACTGTCCACTCTGTCAAAAAAAAAAGGGGGGGGGGTGTCAGTCTGTGTCCTTGGTTGTCAGTGCCCTGTAATCCACATTGATAAGAAAATGGCTCAAATATTAGGAACTTAAAAAAAGTTTGTGGGAAAATGGAATCAAAAGCTTATTTTGGTGTACCAGCTTGAAAATATATATATAAGTATTTGAAAGAGAAAAGAAAATTGTTTTTAAACCACTTAAAATTACCTTGTGATCCTCATTTTAAGTAGCAAGTATTTTAGTGTTTTTATTTCACTGAATTCCCTATTTGATTAATCGGTGATCTGATTTAGTAAACATTTGTCAGATTATGTCTTCCCTGAAGATATATTAAGCCTGGGCTCCATAAGTCATTTTCCTCTGTCTTCTAACAGTTTTAAGTTAGGAAAAGTATTGTGGTGCTATTGTGAGCACAATTGTCTGGGAACATTAAGAACCTTCATCTAGATCTTTTGTAACCATAAAAGGCAACGTGTCATGCTTTCCTGTTTTGCATGGAGGAGAAGGGAGTAAAAAACACCAAAAGAATTTTTATTGCATAGAAATATTTCCTTCCTAGCAGTTGGTGAAGCAATAATGAGCCTACAAAACAATCTTCCTATAGGAGGGAGAGGAGGACAGGGAAAGGCAGCAAGACCACAGGCACCAAGCTGGGCAGAGCTCCTGCTTCCGGTCAGGGCCTGTGAACAAACCTGTGCAGCTCTACCTGGGGCAGAGCACTGTGTGTGTTTCTTCTTCAGCCCTGAGAGGCAGGGCCCTACTGAGATGTCACAGCACCCCAAAGAGGATTTTTAATTTTTATGTGACAGTTAAAAAAATAATAAAAGGAAATAAAAAATAAACCAACCAGGCAGGGCAAATGGAAACTTCCTCTCTTCTAAGAGAGCAACTTGTCAGTCTGTAGTACAGATAATTGGTGCAAGTGGGCTAGAGCACCTCTCTCTCTCTCTTTTGAGATTTATTTATTTATTTTTAGAAGAGTTACAGAGGGAGAGAAGGAGAGACAGAGAGATATTCCATCTGCTGATTCATTTCCCAGATGGCTGCAAGAGCCAGTGCTTGGCCAGGCCAAAGCCAGGAGCCAAGAGATTCATCTGAGTCTCCCACATAGGTGGCAAGGGCTCAGACACTTCTGCCATCTTTTGCTGCTTTTCCTAGGCCATTATCCAAGAGTTGGGTAGGAAGTGGGGCAGCTGGGACTTGAACCAGTGCCAATATAGGATGCTGGCATTATAGGTGGCAAATTTACCTACTGTGCCACAACACCAGACCCAAGCCACACTGTCTTACACCTCCTCTGTGGCTAAGGCCAGAGAAGGATCTATGTTGAGAAGGCAGCTGTCTGTGAGGATAAGTGCTCAGCAATGAAAATACTGCTATTAGTGTATCCATTGGCAACTTAAACATTGTAGCCTCTCTCTCTCTCTTTTTCTCTTCCCCCAAAATTATCTTGTTTGAAAATGCACACTTTTGTACACAGATAAATGCCTTTAACCATTGTGGTGGGGAAGATTGCACTGATTGCTCACACTGGTCATTTCTCCCTTTCTACCTTTCTCTTCTGAAATGGTGGGAAGGATGAGAAGGTAATCTTGTAACCCGTGTCCATCAAGTAAGATTTGAGAACAGCTGGCAGTGGTTAGCACACTGTAGCATGTCTTAAGAGCCCACCTTTCCACCAGCCTAATTCCTGTGGCCCCTTGTCACCTTTCTTGGTGCTGTGGCACTCCCCACTTCCTTTCCTATTGTTTACCTCATGTCACTCCTAAAAGAATTTAGGTTGATGATGAGAAATGACCATACATCCCTTTGTAACCCAAACTAGAAAAACCCTCCAGTGTCTTTAGTTTTTTTTCCAGACCCAGTTATCTTCCTGAAGGCCATGCTTGCCTCAAGATTTGGACTTGATTAAGTCACCTAGAAGGCCCAGGAATGTTTCAGCAAATGTTCTAAGATGTTTTTACATGCAGTTGATGTTTTGAAAACTATTAAGTAGCATGTATAAGAATGAAGGTAATAATGCATAACACATTTTGTGCTTTTTAGTAATAAAAATTATTAACAAAGTAGAGGACAACTAGAAATGTGTATTTTTTTTGGAAGTGAAGAAACATATTAAGGCTAAATAATAACTTCCTAAGATTTTTTGATGTGACTGGATGTTGTTGTAGGGGAAAATAAAAAACAAACAAAAATAAGCTATTCATCTGCATATTAGTGATTTGAAAGTAAAGAGCAGATTTTTTTTTAAGAATAATGCATTTACCAGTTTTCATTTAAATGTGTTTCATTCCCAAGAAGATATCACAGCATATTCTTAGTATAATGTGAATACTTGTGGATAGGGGCTGGTGGTTCTCTGATGTGGTTGAAAGTTGGTATTACATAGCTTTAAAAGAAATGTTGTAAAGAATAAAGAATGAAGAGCAGAAATATTGGACAAGAGAACACTTCGTGTCATGTGAATTCTGTTAGTGGTTAAGAATAGCAAGGGCTATCAAGTTACTCTTGAGTTCCAGTCCTAGCGTTTTCACTGACAATGACCTTGGACAGGTTACTTAACTTATTTATACCTTTGTATCCTCTTCTCTAAAATGAGTATAATACTTATCTCATAGTCCAGTTTTAATCTCATATTCTAGGTAAAAATGACGAAATTATATAATGCATGTAAAAGACTTGCTGTAGTGCTTAGGATGTAAGTTCTCAGACAGTGATGAGACTTGAGGTATTTGATGATTTATTTTTGTTTTTATTTCTTGGTGACACCTTAGTTTAAAGACTTTCTGAGTATTTTACTAGTAGACAGTATGCTTGATTAATTTAGACAGCATAACAGTAACTAAGAAAAGTGTTGTTTTCTGGGGACATCTTCCCTAATTTGTGTCATTTTTCTGCCCCTCTTGTCCTGAGTGAAACTTGATTCTTCCCACTGCCATGGAGACCTCTCCTGATTCACTGGGAAATATTTAATGATAATAGCTTTGTTAATCCTAGAACTCATTCGCACTTTGCCATCACCGCTTTTGGCACTAGGAGATGATCCCCTCACTCTTCCTCAGCCTGCTAGTGTCTTTCCACCTATGTCTGTTGTCCCCACCTTCCGATTTTTATTGGACCTTGTACTTCATCCTCACTGCTCTGTTTCCAAGACCTTCATAGTCTTGTCTGCTTCTAAAATCCTGAACAGCTGCCTCCCCAACCCCTTCACATCTGTGGAACCAGATCTGTGCCTTTTAAAAAAAAGATGTAGTTATTTATTTGAAAGTCAGAGTTACACAAAGAGAGAAGGAGAGGCAGAGGCAGAGGCAAAGAGAGAGAGAGAGAGAGAGAGAGAGAGAGAGAGAGAGAGGTCTTCCATCTGCTGGTTCACTCCTCAATTAGTCTCAAAAGTCAGAGCTTTACTGATCTGAAGCCAGGAGCCAGGAGCTCCTTCCAGGTCTCCCATGTAGGTGCAGGGGCCCAAGGACTTGGGCCATCTTCTACTGCTTTTCCAGGCCGTAGCAGAGAGCTGCATCGGAAGTGGAGCATCCAGGACTCGAACCAGCACCCATACGGGATGCCGACACTGCAGGTAGCAGCGGCTTTACCTGCTTTGCAACAGCACCGGCCCCCCAGATATGTGCCTTTGGCCACTCCTTCCCTCCCAGACACGGCCAATTCCCTGCTCAGCCTTGTCTTGAAAGACCTGCTACTTCACTACCAACTCTGCTGTCCTCCTGTCCACACTCTTTGTCCAACTTGATACTTGCCCCCCCCCCTTTGTTTTTACAATTTGATAGTAGAGAGTTTTGGAAGCAATCTTCAGACCCATACTGGTTTGGTTCATTATGAATTTGTGCTTCTGATT